TACACGTGTGTTTCAGTGCATGTAATTATGCTGTATTTACTCTGTAATTACTCTCCCATAGGATAGTACTTTCCCCAACAATACTAGGGCAGAGTTAATTAATTTACCCTGCCCTAATATTGGCATAAATGTAGATGGTGATGTTTTACTATTGAGCTAATTAGTCAATCCTTGCAGCAAAGCACACTTGTAGGTGCACCCACTTGGTTGCTAGCCAAAGGACATTAAATACTAAGGTTTACTGTTGTCCCCTGCAATATACATAAGGATTCAATATCTGATAGCATTGGTGCCAGTTCACATTTGGTATATAAAAGCATTCCCCTTCAAAGGAAGCAGAAAGGTGTAAAGTGCTGTAGTTCTTGAGCCTGGGAGAGCAATATTACACATGTGCAGACTGTATGACACTTTCACATTAATACACAGTTGTTAATGGTTTCAGTAAGAGTCTTTGGGAAAAGCTGTCAGCTTTACAGCTAGACTTTGGCTGTTTCACACTTGGATCCAGAAGACCCTAGTATTAAATTGCCTTATCCATCATATTTTCTTTTTCCACCAAAGCTGCTCAGCAGCATAGCAACCTAACAGTGCACAGCAACAGCTGGCACAAGTCATGGACATTGAAAGCTACTTTTGGCTGACTGGGATCTTAGGAGGGGACTGAACAGGTTCTGGTCATGTTAACCATCAAATCTGTATGAGGAATCTGAGTTGCACAGCTCTGACTTGAGTACAGGTACTTTGGAATATGTCTGGGAATGCTGTCCTGCATAACTTCCCTCTCCCTGATGCTCTTTGTTGATCCTTGCCAAAGTGGTGCATTTCTAGTTTAATATTAGGCCTTAATTTACTTTCTCTTTGTTAAGATGGCTCTTAAGTTCAGTTAGTAGCACACACAAGAAGGTAGATTCTCAAAAAGAGTGGGTTTGCAGCTATTCCAGACACTGTCCCGAGTAAAGAAATGTAGGTTCTAAATAACAAACACAATGAGAATCTAAAGTATGTATGATGGAAAATCTTGAAAGAGGAAGGATGAGAGCCCTCTATACACACAATGGCTGGTATAACCAGAAAACTCTCTTCCTGGTTGTCAAGGATCACACATATGATGTAACAGTTTGGTTTCAGGGAGGAATTTAGGGAATGGCTCACATTGCCCAGCACTGTCATCTGGGAGCCCCATCTGACTGTGCTTGGCTGGAAGGAAGGTTGCTGAGAGCGATGAAGGGAAAAATAGGGAATGTTCTTCACAGAATTGCAGTTGTAGGGGGCTCCCAAGTGTTTTTTTCCCCAAACGGCTTGTGTGATTCCTTGTAACAGAGAGCTGTAACCAGCTAGTATATCCTTTGTAGAAAAGCTGCTTGGTGTTAGAATTCTAGCAGGAAGGAAGGAAGGAGGGCAGTGTCTTGGTAGCAAGTTAGCTTAGTCTTGTCTTGACTGGGCACTGAAACAAGGGATCTGTTGTCAACTTGTTGCCTGATTGGTTAAATTATTCTTCCTCTTTGCTTCTGTTTGCTGTGGTGTCCTGTCCCTCAACCCCTCTCTAGAAGGGGGATAATGCAAAGTCCCTGCCACAACAATTGCTATGTAATCCGCTCTGTGCGTCAAAATTGTTCTTAAAGATCTGTGTACTTTCATGTAAAATATGTCCAGCTCTAGCAGGCTGGTTGGCAGAAGCTTGCAGCAACCTGCACACTCCCAGATGCAGCAGACTTCAGGTTGGCAGGGATTACAGTCCAGCTGAAGGCAGTAGGCACTGGTTGTAGGCTGCCTAGGAGAAGTGGACCGCTGCAGAGGATAACTAGCTGGCCTACAGGAAGCTAAAAGGCTCCTGGGAAAAGGAGAACAGAGTGGCAAGGAGGGAGAGAGGTATTAAACTAGCTGCAGGGGCAGAACCATGTCATGGTACTCTCACTGGGTCTGGCAAAAAACCCATGGGCTGCAAGGCAGGAAGCAGAATCACCAAGACCAGGAGAAGGGAACTAGTGAAAGAAAGAAGGGAGACTGCATTGAAGACACAGCACGAAGTCAGGAGCTCAGTGTCAGGTTTGGGGAAGAGATCCCACGACTGAGTCCCATCCCCCTCACCCCCTTTATGAATTGTGTTTAGGGACCATTTGAGCTAGTAATAACTCTAAACCCACTAACCAGCCTGTAGAGAGAACCTCAAAGAGAAAGTCAAACATGAGCAGAGAGTATACCAATGCAGAACTGCCTACTTGAGGTTTCAAAGAAGCTGAAACAACCCTGGGAGATGTGAGCTCACTGGCTCACCTTGCACATATTCCTGTGAACTCTGTAATCTTATAGGAACTCCTAATTTCCCAAACCAGACAGTTCAGCATTTTTACCTGGGAATTCACGATTTTGCTACTTCCGGGCATCTGGCATTTTCTTTTGTGTCCAGGCTGCAGACCTAATTGCATCTTGCTCTTCAGCTTCCCCCCACAAGAGGGAGTGAATTACACTATGGTGCCTGCAGTTTCTCTTGTTCAATGAAACTGAGGAGCTTGAGTTGAAGTCTGGTTTTCAGCCATAAAGTGGTGGGAACTAGGAGCATAGGCTGGTGAGTTGGGCTACCCGGAGGGTAGTGCAATGGCTGAGGACCCAAGGAGATGAATTTCTCAATCAGGTAAGAAGTTCCAAAACCTTACTCCTCCTACCCACTTTTTTGGCATACATGGGGGAATGTTCTGTGGTGGAATGTTTGTACAGCATCTTGCATGCCACACCATTAGGAAACCATAATAAAAATGTCTTCTTCAAAAAGATGATATTATATGTGACTTTTCAAATGTGATCTTCATGTAGCTGTGTGCTTGTTTGTAGAATAGCTTGAAATAACTTTGATTCAGAACTTAGGGGTTGCTGCCACCGCTTTTGGGGGTGTTTGCTATTATAGAAGTGGGTCCCATGGAATACAGTGAGCCTAACTATACTTACCTGTCTCATGTGGTTTTGGGAAGAGGTCAAGTGTAATAAAATGTTTGTTATTTGGGGATCTGGGCCATGTTGTAATGGAGAAACATCTTATTCCCAGCAAGGCTGTTGATTACAGTTGGACAAAGTTTTCTGTGATATGGGAAGAGGAGAGTATTTCTTGCTAGTGTGTGATTTGGCTTGGTTGTTGCCTGGGAGGTTGGCTTCTGGTCCTGCATGGGATGCATAATGAAGAGAAAGGGAGCATGGGATAAAAAAAGTCTCTTACTCAGTTGCTGTTGTCTTAAGAGTATGACTGGGCTGTACGACTCATTCCTCCCTCAGGGGACACAGGTGCGAAGAGCTGGTTTTTTTCTTTAATCACTCACATCAATTAAACATATTCCTTTGCATTAAAATAATTAAATAAAGCTACGCCCTGTATCTTTTATTGCTAGATAATATCTTTGAACCTTTGGCTCACCATTTTGCTCTCTGCTGCAAGGTATTTTCCAGGGTGTGCTTAACCTGTTTTGCCATTGTCCTGAAAAACATTCTGGGCAGAGAAATCTGTTGATAGCAAACGGTGCTCATGTGAACTTTCAACCACTGTACCCAGTGGGGGAAATTTTCTCCAGGCCTCTCCTGAAGTCCAGTTGCCCCACACCAAGATTTCATAGATTTCATAGACATTAGGGCTGGAAGGGACCTCGGAAGATCATCGAGTCCAGCCCCCTGCCCAAAGGGCAGGAAGTCAGCTGGGGTCATAGGATCCCAGCAAGATAAGCAGGTAAGATAAGATGAAAGGGGTTTCCATGCCAGGGACCAACTATGGGTGGGGTAGATTTGAGGCTTGTCAGGTTGTTAATTGCACATAACACCGTTGAACACCGAGGTGGATCTGAGCCTGGTTAGCTTGCTGGTGAGGCCAGGCTATGATGCTGTTGAGACTGGAGCAAGCTGGCAAGGAGCTTTGCCTTCCCTGCCCTGAAGGTATTTTCCTGTTCTTTTCAGGACACGATGCTACTTGCAATGGTGCTGTAACAGACGTGTTTTGGGATGGAGGTGTGTGTATTGGGAACAAGGCTTGTGCAGGGTTGGGAAGGATTCTCCTGGGTCCGTTGTGGCTTGTTTTCTGATCATTGAACTCTTGGATTTGGAAACTCTATTGCTTGCTAGTGATATCATCAGCCCAGACTGGTCTTTGGTGCTCTGAGTCATTTCTTAGCCATCCTCAGAGTCTCACAGGCAGATCTGTCATTTCCCCTCTGGTATTTGCTTCAGTTGTGCTGTCCCTGCCCTCTGTGGAAAGAGAGAGATGGTTAACATATTGTTGCTGTATTGCTGTTCCTGCTCAAACTTGTCGTACAGATGGATGGCATTTTTGGTGAGGTAATGACTGACCAAATTCCTAGGGCCTTTGTGCCGCGCTTTGCTGAGCATTTGGGTTTAACTTGTCCAGTAGTAGAGCTATCTTAGCCAATTTGCAACCAGCCAATGTGAGAACATCTTGCTGGTGCTTTCAGGGGGATAAAGTAATTTGATTTGCATCTTTGAGGGGAAAAAAATTTATATCCATTATCATTTAAAGCAGTGTACACATACCTTGGGTAGGTGGAGGGGGGAGGAAACTTTGCAAAGCCCTGTAGTATCTCTGCCAACCAAGAGCCTATCAATATGGCACTGAGGATCTGCAGGGAAGGCTGTTACAGCACAGGACAGAGACAAGAAATACATGGCTCAGTCCTAAACAGCCCTATTGACTATTTCACTATACATAGTTTTAAGACGGACAGTTCTGCAGCCTTCCTTTGCGTCCTTCTCCTCAAAATCTAGAGAGGAAAAAGAAGAGTCACCAATCCATAAGTGATTAACTCTGTTCGGCCAGGGGAAGGAAGCAGGATTTAGGTCAGACATTTCACCACTTATATTTGGCAAAATGAAAACCTCTGCTTTTCTTCTCTATGGGGAGCAAATGTTGACTGGCTAGGGCAAGGATATGCATGAATAGCCTGGTCTGGCTCTGGGCTTTGCAAGGCCCCTTGTATTCTAATTTCTCTCTTATTCTCTTTTGTTTGCAGCTCAGAGACATGTCCTCACGTACATGGAGGATGCAGTGAGCCAGCTACTAGAGAACAGAGAAGATATTAGTCAGTATGGCATTGCCAGATTCTTCACTGAATAGTAAGTACATCAGAATGCTGCCAATAGGGCCAGCCCAGAGGAGGCTCTTGGAACAAGGAGAGTACAAGGGGGAATGAAACTGGAAACATGCTGATTATTTTGGATTTCAGTAGGTGAGCCAAGGGCTGCCTGAGCACATTTCAGAGATGAAGACATTTGTGCAGTTCAGCTCCTTGTTACAAGAACTTGCATGGGGTAAACAATAGGGACAACAGCACAATCAAAAAATATAGGACTAAATCCTGCTTATTTTATTCCTTAATGGTCAAATTCAAACCTGATTTAAAAGTGGGTCAGTGCCTACTGAGTCTACCCTCAGTTGTGTGCTAGCTTTGTTTTAAAAGTGAATTTGGCCCTGTGGGGGTTCCTGCATCTATCTGCATACCTGTTACCATATCCTTACATGTCATCTGCTCTGACATCTCCTTTTTCTCTAGAATCTGTGTAAATTTATCTTTTAAACAATATGTGATCCTCCCTTCTCCCCTCACCTCCACCATTGATGCAAATAGTGCTAATGGCTGACAAGATATGAGGAAAAATACGTGCTGATACTGACTTAACCCAGCCACTGCACAGCTTGAGACTTCAACTCACTGATGCACAACATTTAAAAACCATCCAGGTGTTCAAGTTGAATTTATTTCTTGATACTGAAAATGTGCATCAAGCAAGTGCACCAAGCATACGTTTTGTCACCTTTTTGATGCCTATCTGACAGTCTCTACTTGCTTGCTTCTTCATGTTAACTTTTTCCTGGGTCACATCAAAGCAGACAGCTTCATGCTCCATTCCCTGGATTATAGTGTTGGACGAGGAGCTTGACACACTGGAATAGGCTCCATCCCAAAGAAATGTGTTTTTTTCATTTAAGTTCACTTGGAGACTGGACAAGCACCTGGTTTGCTAAGCTGAATGACAGCTGACTGAACTGCTTATTGTAACTTCTTATTCCCAAATAGCCATGGGGATCTCATGAAAATTTCTAGGCATGCATACAGCCTGTCCACAGTTTTCATGGGACAGAATCAGTTAAGCTCTTTCCTTTTGCACAGTAAAAACAGAAGCAGCACTCAGCTGATGTTCTGAAAGTAAACTGGCTTGAGAGAAGGAAGACTGCATTTTGATAATTTTTAGAGTGGCTGTTAATGAGCAGCTAGGCTCCAGTGGTGCCAAACAGGCAAGATGTTATATGGCCTTCTGGCCTGTCTGGCTGTGGATGGACCTGCATTTGTAGTGCAGCACCACTTTGAAGTGCTACAGAGATGTAGCATTGTGAGGCATGAACCAATGTACAGCACCCAGTGGCTGGAGCACTATAAAGTTGCTGTGAAGGCATTCAGTGGCATGCTCTTCAGCTCTGCTGGACTGCTTACCCCTCTTTCCCACCTTGGGGCTAGGGGAGGGGGGAGTAGAGCACCGTGAGATGCTGGGGGACCAAGAGATCCCCATGTAACACTACGATTCACTGGATACACATGATGTGGTGCTACAAAATATAGTGCTACAGAGAAGTTTCCATTTCATCCAGGAACATTTTTCTAGGCATCTAAGGGTGCAGATGTGTTCAGAATGCTGTAAGTGTAAATATGTCCGTTGCCTTTGTAAAGTAGCCCTCGTAAGTAGACTTGATGGGACGACTCTGGTTCTCTGTGACACCTCACCTCTCAGGTTCCCATCAGTGCCCTTGCTAATGTGCTTTCGTTTTATTCTCATACTCTGAATCATCCATGTTGGTGTTTAATGTTGGCCCAGCTGTTCTTTTTGTTTTGTATCTTCTTATAAAGTTCCTTTGTTTGCACTGTATGCTGTTTCCAGACCCCAGAGTCATTATATATGGCTCAGCATAGGGCAAATGGAGATCAACGCTGTTCTGAGGAGGTCCCAGGAACCCAGCCTGGGAAGAGAAAGAGCTGGAGCCAGGCCAAAAACCTGTATTTCGTGAACATTCCGTTTTCAAGCGTAACATTTATTCTGTAGTAAGGTTGTTGTATAAACTATCTTTTCAAAACTGTTCCCCAGTGATGTAAATGTGTATGCCTTATTGTCATGCCTTCTGATGTTGACTGGTAGAAATTTGGTGCTAGCTGAATTTTGATTGGTTATATAGCAGCTGCAGAAAAACCTCCCTCTATAGGTCAAATTTAGTGTCAGTTTAGAAACCTGATTTTAAAAGCTAATTGATTTGGACAGTTTCTGTTCTGATTCCATTAAAGCCTTGTGGAGCTGGTCACTCAGACTTGTACTAGTAGTTCCAATATACTGCTGCCCAGAAATATTTGCCTTCACCTACTGTTGCTGAACTTCTCTATTCAGGAGGAACCTGGGTTTCTGTAAACACATCATTGTCCAATTAATTCAGCATAGGCCTCCATCTGGTCCACCATCCTGTCTCTGACAAGACTGGATGCATCAGATAAAAGATAGAAAGAACACAAAGTGGATTATATAGAATGACCAGCCCATGAGGAAGTTTCTTCCTAATCCTTATCATCTCCTAATTAAATTATCCTCTTAAGCATGAGGATTTACATCCCTTATAGTAAGGGTGATACCTTTGCATAACTACAGATGATCTCATTATCCTTATAAAGGTCCAATTTTCTTTGGAACCTAGTAGACTTCCTGCATAATTGATACTTGGTAGGACTGAGTGCCACAGATTATAAATACAGTTACTTCTAATAAAGTGATAATATGTGATTAAGTATATACTTAAAGTGCCTGATCCAGCCACACTATACATAAAATAAATACAATCATAGGACATCCATTAAAGATCATCCCCTAAAAATTCAGTAAAACTACCTGCGGTAGACCTAAATGCAAGATTAAAGTGACAAAAAGATGTTGGAGGAGGTATAAATGTGGAATCATAATAGCAAATGCTGAAAATACTCATGGAAAAGGTTTTTTTCATATTATAGAAGAGAAAATTAGTTGCCTAGAGGGAAGGACTCAGGCCTTTGGAAAATGTCCAAGGAGTTATGGTGAGATCCATGGCAGGGGGCTGGTACCAGAGCCAATGAACCCTCAGAAACAAAGGAAAGCTAGGAGCTTTTGTTTGTGTCTTGAACCTCACCCTTCATCTTCTGAGAAACAATTATGTCTGGCCCTTGTTCCTCTGCCATATGGGGAACATGTTTGGGGCTTAAAAATCAGGCAAAATAATGAAACACAGTTTGCAGGAATCATTAGGAGCTTCAGCATTGTAAAGAACAAACCTTAATGGTGCTCAGTCTGTACTGATTCTAAAACAGAATACAAAATTGTGCCTTCTACATGTTTTGTGATATTTTAGGGCATGGCTGACTGGTGTCTCCTGACTCTGGGAATCCCCCAGCGGCCAATCGCCAACCCCGGAAGTGTCACTGGCAAAATTGGCGCTTCTCGGGGGGGCACCGGCCAGCGCTCCCCACTCCCCGGCCGGCAAGGGCCAATCTCAGGGGGGTATGTCCCATGCTGTCCCTACGCATCACCTATGTTTTGGGATTAAAATCATAATCTAGATGAGTTAGATTAGTACATGATGGTGGGCATGAAGGAGAACCTGCTCTGGAGAGCTTTTTTTTTTGCTGGCAGTAGCTCATGCAGCTCCTCTGTTGGTTGATGGTGGGTCTTCAATGGCCAGCTGAAAGTCTCTTATTTGCAAACAGACAGCAAGCAGTACAAATTTGAGGCACTGGCCTTTCTGCTAGAAGACAGTTAGTTATGCAGTATTGTCAAAAACAAAACAAAACTACTCAACCCAAATAAGAATGTGTCTGGCAGTGGGAAGTGACATATTTTAATTGTTTGCCTCTTATCTGCAGACCTAACCTTGTCTTTGAATGTCAGTTAAACAAAGGATGTTGATGTTTGTTTGTTTGTTATTTAACCTTAGAAACATAATCCCACTTTATGGGTAGCCCAAGAAGGCTTACTTACAACCTGATGATATAGCTGTGTGTCCTGAACATGCTGCAATGATGAAGGCGCAGGCCAGAATATTACAGGAGCATAATGAGAACAAATGAAGGTGCATGCTTTGCAAATGAAACATCTGGCAAAGGCTGTACCATGTCTGATTCACAGATGTGATGCTGAGCCTTCTAAACATCCTCATCAACTTTCAACAGGCCCCTTCAATAAGCAAGTTCTCAAAAGAAGAGAGAGTGCCTCTGATCCCTACCCAGGAACCAGACTTTGTTTTAGCAGTGGTGAATGTGAGGAAGCTGTGACATGTGCAGCTGGCACTATCATTCAGGCACCTCTCCAGAGCAGATCTGGTTATCACCCACTTTCAAATGTGTACCTTTGGGCCTTTTTAATCTTCTGATAATAAAAATGTGATGGTGTAAAAGTCCCTCTGCACCTACTCTTGAAACTACTCTTAGATTGAACTATTTTTTTTTCATCCTGGGTCCTGTTGCCCAACTTCTCCCTTTCCCCTCCTCCTCCACTTTGTATATGAGTTTCTTGGTGTTGTCAAACAAATCTGCAACTTTTTTCCTTGTCAGTAGTGAGCATAACATAGAATAGAAGTTATTGCAGCTCTTAGGTTGAGACAGACTGAGCTCACATTTCCCTGAGGTCATGTTTCCACAGCCCTCTTGAAAATGAGAGATGAAATCCAGAGGGTTTATTGTTCATGTTCTGCAGAAGATGAAGTAATTACTGGGCATTGCTGCTGCTTTCTCTCTGGTAATTTGAAGTAGGACTTGTCATTGTCAGTGTCTCATGCCTAAGCCAGAATGCAGCAGACCATAGCTAGTGTCCCTGTACCAAAGCATTAATAGGATAAGTAGTTCTGAGAGCTATGACACTCTGGATCTAAAATTATGAAATATAGGAGTTTATTCCTTTAAAGTGTGGAATAACCTACCAGAAAGATAGGCCTAGATATCAGTAGAACAGGAAACTTCCTGATATAGAAAAGTTATTAATTCTGATCCCCAGGCTCATCTGGGAGCTGCTGTCATTTTTATAGCATAGTTGGACAGTTCAAGAATTTATATACA